GGTCTAAATCAATAAATGTCTGAGACACTGTCTCGATAAAAAGTAAACAGTTCTTTCTAAGTTTTGTCCTGAAATTGCTTGGAGTTTTGCCATTGTATTCGGTTTCATGTCTAAACAGACTCAAAACTACTTACTTTAAGAGAGTTTTTGAGTTTGGGGAATACAAAGAAGTTGTAAAAGGGAAAAAGAAAAGGACACGAGAGTAAATGAGATGTTTCGGCTGACAAATGTGAAACTCTATCTAAAATTTCCTTTTCTGGTAGAGAACTTTCCGCTAGGTGAATTTTGTAGTGAAGGATCGAGTAATATGGCCGCAGTTTTGACCTTTATCTGTCATCTCTATCTCTCATTCATATAGACATAACATCTCAACGCAGTCTGACCTATAACAACATATTTTCAACGAAAAATTCCTTTTAGAGCATCTTCGCCATTTTTAATTGCAAGGATTAAAAAGAAGTAAAGCGAAAAGTAAAACTCTCCCTGTAACAGACCGTGAAGGCCCATAGGGTTGTGAGATGTTGAGGGTCCCACATTATTTAGACAATCGGCCCAAAGATGGCAGTAAGGTTGTCAGCCTTACGCACCGGCCGCGCTTTACTCCCCAGGAAAATTATTTAATTAATTCCTGGTATTTACTTCTGCTAGAGGCTGAGTCGACCCCAAGGCCATAGTGCCGCTGGAAGGATTAGGTCAACTGAAAAAAAAATCCAATAACCTCATCGGGACTTGAACGCGCGACCTTCCGGCTTGTAGCATAGTGCCTCATCAAACTACGCTACAAATCTGTTCATTTCTCTTCCTCTGACATCACTGCCTTCTTAACCCTCTGACGACGGGAATTTGAATAGCCAGTGCGTAAGGTGGTGCGGATTTCGGTGTTAGGAAATTTAAATTTTGCGCTAACATTGTTAACGTTGTCGTCAAATGCTCTTTGGAAGTTCAGATAAATACTAGAATATTGAAACATATATCAATTGAAAATTTTAAATTCTTTACGAATTTGAAAATTCATTTTTACGAAATATTTAAATCTTTCAAATTACGAAGGTCTCCAGACTTATAATGTATTCTTGTACGTCTCTGTGGTTGTTAAAGGCTGAGATTTTATATTCATGACATTGTAATGATACTGTATGTACGGTATGTATTGATATTGACCAATCACATTGTAATAGTAGTTTCCGCAAGTATTGATTTGTCCTTCTAAAGATGGTCTCTCAGACCGAAACATGTCAAGGGCAAAAGATTACAAATGAGAAAAAACGTTTATCAGTCACACTGGATGGAATTGGTAACCTTTTATAATATTGCTACTGTGACGGACCAGGATGAACCCAATCGAAGTTCCTGACTTGTGTCACACTCCACGGTTTTTTAAATAACAAATCCTAAACAGAATCATTGTTTTAAGTTATCAAATTTTCTGAAGTTAAATGAATTCTTATAAAATATGCACTACTAGTAGACAGAAAAACAAACTCCGTTGTCTGTAGTCCGGAACCGAACTATACCGACCGAGCGACCGCCGCCTGTCGGCGAAGTTAGTGTCAACTTTTGCGGATAGACGGTGTCACGTGGTCAGCGCAACGGATGCCCACGACCGATAATCTCGGCTTTCTAGACCGGAGCCGCTATTTCCTTGAAATATCTCCTCAATTATCCTTACAATTATCCTGAGTGGATTCCGTTCCAGACTCACTACTTCTCAGAAAATCTTGTAGCGCCGCGAATCGAACCCGGGACCTCTGGATCCATACCGAAGAACTCTGACCACTAGACCACAGAAGCGGTTCACTAATGGTAGACATTTTAATTTATTAACATCAACATTCGTGATGCATATAAGATATTGGTGGGAAAGCCATAAGTAAAGAGACCACTAGGAAGACGAAGACGTAGGTGGGTGGATAATTATAAAATGAATCTTAGAGAGACAGAGTGAGGTGGTATGGACTGGATTGATCTGGCTCTAGATAGGGATCTTTGGAGAGTTTTTGATTAGCTGCACCTTTGGCTGTTTCTTAAGAAGTCTCAGCACCATGAGCTTAATAAGATTACCATTCGTGAGCTGAATGGAAGGTAGATAATATTTGCGATATTTTAGATACAAAATCTGTTTACAATATCTGAGGATATGTGGCATTTGTGGTTTCATAATTTTTTTAAATTGCAACAACAAATAATTGTCAGTTTCGTCAGGTAAACACACAGATTCTTGCAATTTGTATTTGCCTCGGTTGTGTTCTGATATACGGGGGGAAAACCTGAAGAGCTCATCCGAATGTTGCGCACGCAATCTGCATATTCTCCCATGCTCTTTAAGGCTGCCAGGTTATTTTTTCAGAGTTTGTATTCGTGCCAAGTTATTGCAATGTGACTTTCTAGAAAATCTGCATATTTTCGCGAAATTTAGATCCTCTTACAAACCTTTCAAATTTGAAAATATACGTGTATCTGCGAATCTAAAATTTTCCTAAACTTAATTTTCGTAATGCTTTTATAAATCCGTTGCAAGAATACGACTAGTGAAGACTAAGAACATTAGTGTATACGTAACAGTGAACTGTAACACATGTAGATCAGTGATAGCGCTACATTTGCCTGTAGTTCCGAGCGGTGTGTGTGTATAAGGTGTCAATAAATCCAGTCACCAATCCAAAACCCATCAAAACCCTTAAAATATAACAATATTAAACTGTTTGCCGGTCACCGTAGCCGAGCGGTCTAAGGCATGAACTGTTTTCTCTCGCTCGGAAGCTGGTATCGGGGTTTCGAATCCCATGCAAGATAATATTGTTTGGTATGTGTATGTGTTTATTCTGTGTTTGTGTTGTCCTGTGTTTAGGTAGAGGCCTTGCGACGAGCTGATCACTCGTCCAAGGTGTCCTACTATCTGTAAAATGATCATGGAACTGAAATATCAGAGGCCAGGGCCAAATGGGGCTGTAGAGCCAGTGTAAAAGAAATTAAACTGATTACGTATGAAAGTAATGATTCAATATGGAAAATGAGGCCGGATAACGAGCCTGTAACCTCAAGTTGAGGCTCACATATTCTTAAGTTGACTGCGAGTTATTCCTGTATTACACTCGTACGAGTACGTGCCGAGGCTGAAAGGGTCGATATGTTCTTTGCTAGTTGAAACTGGTTCACATTTACGTAATTTACCAGAAAATACTGGTTTTATAATGGAACTGATATATCAGGAGGGAGTTACGCAGTATCATAAAGATGTTAAAATAACAATGTTCTTCCATTCGTGTTGAATATTAATGACTCATTTTATACATATTTCAAAATATATGATAGCTACGTGGTTCTCACAGCAGTGGCTGTATTCCAGGAAGCGACGGCGTATACTATGTAGTTCATCGACGTTTCATATGAATCTGATGCCTCAGTCTTCAGGGTGGGAAAGTAAGAAAATAAAGTAACCATCAATAACCAGGCAGTAACCAAACGTCGGTGAATTTCAACCGCACTACACGACGTCACATTCCGTAAGGTGTATGATTTAAAATTGATATTTTTGTGAATATTTGCCCCTCGTTTTGAACATCAGACTGTTAGGTGTTTTATAAAAGGTTTAGAGTTAAGTAGACTTAGCTATCCCAGGCCGTTGCCGCTATATGGCCAGATTTATACAGGAAGCTCTCGTTTAGCGTCATGATTATATTCTTGTGAACTGCTACGTTATGAGAAACTATACTAAGAGGGTCCATTTTATTATGAGTAATTTAAGAAATAAGATGGTTATGTTGCCCAGCCTGACTTTACCCCATAGCATCCACTGCAATACGGAAAATATGAACGCGATTGTAAGTACAGTGGAAGGCCCATTATCGAAATTAATTAGTGATAAAAGCGGTTCCGATAATCAAAGATTAAAAATAACAGTCAATAACAATTTTATTTGCAATCATAAAAAATGTTAATGTTTCGGGAAATTTACGCCTCCCTCCTTGCATCAATACTTTTTATTTTATACAATCAGTCTTAAGAAACTTTCATACATATAATTTTTCCCCTGCCAATCACAGTGACCACGCGGTCTAAGGCATTAACACTGGGATCGTGGGTTCGAATCCCACTCCAGGCATGGATGTATGTGTGTGTTTATTCTATATTTGTTTTGTTCTGTGTGTAGGTAGCGGCCTTGCGGTGGGCTGATCACCCATCCAAGAAGTTATATCGATTGTATATAAATTAAGAAACTGAAAAAGCGGCCAAGGTCCTTAAGGGCTGTGTAGCCCTAAGTAGATAGATATGTTTTTTCCGGATATTTCAGATGGTACAGGGATGAACTCCTCGAGGCCTACCGCCTTGTCGTGTCTGCCCTAGCGACACGGAGAGCTATAGTGCAGTTCCTGGTCCTGCACATTGGAGGTTGGGCGTGGGGTTAATAAACCCACCCAATAAAAATTTATTGTCACGAAACCTCTAGAGGAGGCCAAGACCTGTACATGACTATAGCGCCAATATAAAAGCCAGTAATGGAGTTTGGGCCGATCCAACGAGGTTCGATTCCCGAGAAAGCAAGACTTTTCTCCATAGCGTCAAACACTGCTCTGCAGCCCACTCAAGTTCCTATTCAGTGAGTGCCGAGGGCTCTTTCCATCAGGGGTAAAGCAGCAGGGGCGTGAAGCTGGCCAGTCGTCTTCATCTAGTACTGTTTTCAAGAATGGAGTTAAACCTACACTTTCTCATACGCCTTCATGGCGTGGTGCTTAATTAAGCACTAGTACAACTTTATCTTTAACTTACCTTTTTACTAGACGAAACAAAGTACATGATCTGCACTCCTCAATATAACGTAAAAGCGTTTGTCTGCACATTCTATTCAGAAGTACTAATGATGGCATAATGTTGGCGCCGAAACACGTAAAATGTTGTATTATTACCAACAAGTTGTTTCACAGTGCTTTCAACGCATATTTCATATTTGCTTAAGACATCGGAATGCAGCGATTTGATTATTTTTATTATTTGCCTTTCAGCTCCATGAGGCGTCGGGACGACAAGCGTCGGTGATAGCGGGCGGGCTGGCTCTCGGATCTGCTGGCGATGGTCGGTGCTGGGGACGGGGAGTTGAGAGCGCTCGCCCCGTCACTGCAGCACTCCGCCATGACAGCACTACTACCAACATGAATCCAAGATGGCCACCGGGCGCTGCCCGCACTACCTGTTCCTCCACTCCACATTGCTCCCCGACGTCGCCACTACTCGGAGGATGGTGATATGTATTACCATGCTGCCCAAGATGGCACTCAACCTATGATCATACCCAGTGATCACGACAGACACGCGGTGGAAATACTCTTCACCCTGGAGACTCTAACGCAAGCTGGTATCATTTTCATCATGGCGGTAGCCATCATCTTGACCAATGTTCTCATCATAGCCACCTTCCTCAACTATCGCGGTAAGTACATGGCTCGCAACCTGAAGTAACCGAAGTCTCAATATTTCTGACGACACTTGGTATTGTAGCATGTACATCCTATGCAGTAGACGAATAAACAAACGCCAGTTTCTGAGCAACAGCTTGGTAAATACGTTCTCGCGGAAACGAATACGCACGCAAAAATATATTTACTGTTGGAAACGGGATGTTTTCCATGTAGTCCGCTCCTAGCAGATATAAAGAAGAGAATTGGGGCAACCAGAGCAATTGAGCTCTGCAAGGGAGGGTGGGAAGAGATAGCGTTATAGTTAAATGAGTTCAGTTCTTCACGGGCGGCTGTGAGAAGAGGACCTGAGCGTAGAAATCTGAAAAATCTCCACTGTTAGAAGCCGTTGTCAGGGAAAGGCTGATGAAGATACATCAGGCTGGAAAAGGGCTTAGCAGGTTCTGTGGAGATTAGCGGTGGTGCTGTAATTGCTTGTAGTTCCGAGTCGTGTGCATAATTGTTCAATAAATCCATTCACCAATCCATACCCCGTCTATAGTCACACTCCTGAATCCTGATAGTATGTTTCCGTCCTCGTGCTTAGGGGAGGAAAGGTTCCTAAACACTTAGGCTCGTTATGCTTCTAAAGCGGTAGAATTATAAAACGCAATGAAGTGCAGCAGAGTGACCATATAAAGCAGAAACATGTCACAGAATTAAGATTTATGAAACAGAGACAAGTAAGACGCAAACAAACTATGAGCACAACAAGAATTCGGGATTTCGAAGACTGACTCTGCAAATTAAATAGAAAGAGGCAATATAGATAGCTTATTCACTGATCGATGTTACCTCAGCCAGCCAAGTTCGCTTTGAATCGTATTCAGAAGGTGCTCATTTCGAATTCCGGTTCGGACATGCGTTATTCTTAATATGAGTCTTAGTGGTTTTCCTCAGTCTATCATGTCAAACACCAGGATGGTGTTCCGAATATGCCACGACCGATGCCTTCTGAATACTTTTCAATGCATCATTCATCACTCATTTGAAGTCATATAGTCACTCATTTGAAGTCATATAGTCACTCATTTGAAGTCATATAGTCACTCATTTGAAGTCATATAGTCTAGCTACTGATATCATTGTTAAACACCCCACAAAATAGGTACTACAGCCGTGATAGTTTACGAGAGAGAGACAATAAATATGTTACACATAGATATACCTTCATTTCTCGACATATCCTCCACCAACACTGACACACTTCACTCAGCGCTCTACCAGTGCGTCAAAAACCCGCAGTAGAGAAGTCTTTTGACTGTTGTCTGAGCAACTTCCGCACCTGGTCGGGCATCATCTGCGGCTTTCGAACGTCACTGAGAGAATTTCTCATCCCAGTTGTGAACCGCTTTACGAGAAAAACACTTCACAACCTAAACAGGAACTATTTCTATATGAATATATTTTGCATTTATTCAGTTTGCCCACATAAAACTCACAACAGAATTCTACTCTTCAGTAGTACATCCCTCAAGCATGGCCTCCATTTTGACTACTGAAACTAGCCTGTGAACATGCGCATGCGCATCTACTTTGCTGCTACCTAGTGACAATAATATAATAAATAAATTCCGTGGCCTGTAGTCCGCAAGCGAACTATACCGACCGAGCGACCGCCGCTTGTCGGCGAAGTTACTGCCAACTTTGGCGGACAGAGGGTGTCGCGTGATACATATAGAAAACATATTACGTCAATTACGGGTGTTTTACTTCCCTTTGCGACCTGTTTACTGGCTTTCCCGCGTATGTTTCAACGTCTGTGGCGGAGAAACGACTTACAGCTTTTCGAAAGAAACTGATATCCCGATACGCGGAAGTGGGGGGGGGGGAACCCAGAACCTATTCATTATATTCACATGCATAAAAAACGGAGTATGAGAAATTTGCCGTCAGTGTAAAATGCCCTGCAAGTTATGTATTGATAAAATTTCTTGTAACTTTATTCTTCCATGCTTCCCTTCCCACGTTTCTTGGGTTTAATATTATACTACAACACCCTGTTGCACTCACTCATTCACCCCCGTCTTTATTATAAATTAAAAATTTTCACAATCAAACTTCAATTTAAAATAACTTTAAAATCGCATCAGTTGTCACATGTTTCGGCCTTACTTGACCATCTCCAGGAAATTGTTCACTGTTTGAAAACCGTCGCACTGCACTAGATCTCAAGTCATTATATTTCTCTGATATTGCATTATTGTTGTTCGCACTAAAATGTATTTGTTTGCGAGGAGATGCTTTATCGCCACTCCTTTTTAAGTTTGCTTTAGAATATGCAATTCGGAAGGTCAAGGGAAACCAGGTGGGACTGACATTAAACGGGACACATCAGCTGTTGGTCTATGCCAATGATGTGAATCTACTGGGTGATAATATAGATACCATAAAGAAAAACACACAAACTTTAATTGACGTAAGTAAAGAGGTTGGTTTAGAAGTGNCTACCATTCAGTCCAGAACCTTTTGTCTTCTCGTCTGCTGTCCAAAAACATAAAAATTAGAATATAAAAAACTATAATTTTGCCTGTGGTTCTGTATGGGTGTGAAACTTGGCCTCTGACATTAAGGGAGGAACATAATCTGAGGGTGTTTGAAAACAGGGTGTTGAGGAGAATATTTGGACCAAAGAGAGATGAAGTGACAGGAGGTTGGAGAAAACTACACAATGAGGAGCTTCATAGCTTTTACTCTTCTCCAAGTATAATTACAATGATCAAGTCAAGGAGGATGAAGTGGGAAGGTCATGTAGCACGAATGAGGGAGACGAGGAATGCGTATAGGATACTGGTGGGGAAGCCAGAAGGAAAGAGACCACTGGGAAGACCAAGGCGTAGGTGGGTGGACAATATTAAAATGGATCTTAGAGAGATAGGATGGGATGGGATGGATTGGATTGAACTGGCTCATAATATGGACCAGGGATGGCTCTTATGAACACTGTAATAAACCTTCGGGTTCCATAAATGCTGGGAAATTCTTGAGTAGCTGCAGAATTGGCTGCTCCTTCAGAAGGGCTCAGCTCCATGAGTAAGTCAGTAAGTCCCTTCTCGAGCCATTTTCCTTTTGCTGCGTCCATGTCAATGCCTCGTCCTTATGTATGTCCTCACTAGCTAGGCGTATGTCACTTGTTTCTTATGCTGCTTGGACCGATCTCTCCTGCCTTCTCATTAACCCTTACACATCCTGCTGGACAATGTAACCGGAGCCAGCACCTAGCAAAAGCAGCTCTGGGGGTGAAGTGGTCACCCTCATGGCCACAGAACAGCAAATCATGACGCTTCTGGAAAGAGCAGAGACAGAAGATTAATGATTCGCCATTGTTGTGATGGCTGTGCACAGGATCTTCGTATGAAAACAAGTGCCTGCGTTCCATGTACTTCCAGCCCACTTTGTACCTCCTCTAATCTGAGACGAGGAACCAAAATGGAGAAACCCGCAAATGTCTCCTGAACGTCACAATGTGGTCATGGAGCCCAGAGTGGACTTGATACCAAAGAAACACGGATCGGTCAAGAGGCTGGCTGCAATGATACTAAGTCCTGAGTCCTGAAGGAAATGTAAAAGTAAAGGTATCCCTGTAACAGCCGTGGATGCCCATAGGGTTGTGAGATGTTAAGGTTCCCAGATTTTCTAGAGAATCGGCTCATAGACGGCGGTAAGGTTGTCAGCCTTACACGCTGGCCGCCCTTTACCCCCAAGAAGATTCCTGGTACTCATTTCTGTTAGAGGTTGAGTCGAACCCAGGGCCATAGTGCGGCTGGAAGGATTAGGTAAATTGAAAAAAAAGTTCAATGACCTCATCGGGATTCGATCCCGCAGCCTTCCGGCTTGTTGTATAGTGCCTCAACCAACTACGCTACCGCGTGCCCCCTCCTGAAGGAAATGTACGAATATATTGTGTATAGTGGACAAGGACTAAGATTAAGGATTTATACAAAGGAGAGACCCAGCCTCTCGTCAGAGGTTGCACCCACAATTTTGTTTAGATCAAGATACAAATCTCTTCTCCTAGCGGAATATACACGTACCACGATTCTCCTTTCGTCCAAACCTGGTCACTACACTGAGTTGTGTAGTCTCCTCACAACCAACCTATAGGAAACAATATGGAACGTGATTTGATCCAAGTAGTTCCCATTTAAACTGAATCAGGTCTTCATCATTACTCCCTAAGGAACTCTCTTCTCTCTTCAAGGTTAAAACATCGGCTGGTTTATTGACAGTTCCAAATGACGTCACTGGGCCCCAAGACGCAATAAAACAAGTGGCTGGAATTCTGGATGTGTTTCCTTGTGCTGTTCAATATTTGCTTCCACCCTATTTACATTTTATATATACAAATACGTCGGCTAGGGTAGAGCGGTAGTCATGTAGGCGAGTGAACCATGTTTGCAACCCGAAACTAACTTACTTAGACCTTGGTCTACTGCCCTCTAAGGATCTATACGACAGATGTCCTCTCTTTTTATTATACACTTTTGCCTCCATCTCTTCAATTTAAGCTCTCGTAAATCATCCTCTCTATTTGAGACTAGGCCTTTACCTACATGCTTATTCTTTAGCTCTACTTTGACCTCCATTTACTATAAATGCTCATTTTCCTATATCATTCGCTTTTGTCCCCAATTTCCGTTCTGAGCTATCACAAATCATTCTCTGCATGAAACTGGTTCCTCATCTCCTAAAAAAGAACAGTTTTCCGTGATTAAAAAACTTAACGCATTCCAAAAAAGAAAAGTAGCGCGGAATTTCTCATCACTGAGAGACTGTCAACTTTTTATTGAGGATTCCTGTCCACACAGCCGGTTTCGGATCACTCATTAATTCTTAAAGTATGCATTTCATTACTTCTAAGCTTAGATTATTAATTGTGTTCCTTATCTTGCGTATTTTTCTTTGAAGTCATCGATTCTGAAGGGCGACCTCACTTTCACCATCTTGTGCATATTCACTTTGTTATATAATATTT